CCTGCTGCCCACACTCCTCTTGGGTGCATTCAGAGGAGAGTGGCCAGCAGGTCGAGGGAGGTTCTCCTTCCCCTCTGCTTTGCCCTAGTGAACCAACCCTACAGAACCAACCCTGCTCGAAGGGGAGCTTTATTCTTGCTCCTGGGCTTTGGGCTGTGATACACGTACCCATGTGCTAGCCTAAAAAAATAGATCAGTAGGAACTGCTGGAGATTAAGGCATAGAATAATCATAGCCACACCGCCGGGATGGCCAGGCTGCAAGTTGTGTTCTGAGCGGTTATTTTCTGTTTCTTGGTGTTTCTTGCTGGTGGCTAAGCAGAGTGATGCTTTTTTTTCCTCTTGGGCTTTGCAGCAACACTTTTGTCTTGGAGTACTGCGGCGAAGTGCTGGACCACAAAGAGTTCAAGGCTCGCGTGAAGGAATATGCCCGGAACAAGAACATTCACTATTATTTCATGGCCCTGAAGAACGACGAGGTGAGCGGTGGGATTGCTGTGCTTGGCTTCGGGGCAGGCTGCCTGGGCTTAGCCCTGGTTACGTGCAGCGCCGACGCGCTGTCAACCCCCTGAGCAGCGTCCTGACTCTATGGAAAGGTTTTCCTAAGGAAGGGAAACTTTGGCTGGCTTTGTGTCGTCATGCCTTACTTTTTTTTATTACATTGCTCAGTTTCACCCTGTTTAATGGAAATCTGGGAGCTTAACTGTAGCGCAGCGTGCTTCCTCGGAGAGGAGGAATTGTCCTGCCGAGGGGAAGGATGGCGTGTGGCCCGTCCCTCCTCAGCGAGCGAACCTCCAGGGGAGAGAAACGGCGTCTGCGTCCCAGCTCCGGGAGATGCTGCACGCCAAGCTCGGCGCTCTCGGCCGCCCAAGTAAACCAGTGGAGAAAACGTACCGATAAACCACGGCTCCTCGCTCCGCTTGCTCCCACAGCTCCGTTAAATCGGGCCACGTTCAGCTGGTGGGGTCCCGACCTGCAAGATTACTGTCATGGAAATATTTATGTACCAGAAATTCTTCATGATTTACCTTTGCTCGGCAGCTGGTTTAGCTCTTGGATCGCAGCGTTGCGACGCAGAGCGTGGCCTTGCTTGGCTTGGGCAAGGGGCCCTCCCATGCCGAGAGCAAAGTGTAGAAATAGAAATTTAATACCATACTTTGCTTGTCTCTTCTGTCAAGATTTTTTGGATCTGGGTAGCTTTACAGTAGATGAGCTAAAAATACTCTGAGTGCTTTTTTCCTCCTCTTTCCCCCCAACGTCAGCCAGCTTTTAGCTGCGGTGGGATGGTTACGTGGTCACAAGGGGGCACAGGGGAGTGTTTCCAGCTACAAAAGCGAGGACGCAGTGAGCCAGGAGACGACCTTTCTGTTGGAGCACGATGCCTGCAGCGGAGATGTTCACCCTTCCTGGGCGTTGGGCCGCGTGTCGGAGGGGTCAGAAGCCGATATTCAAAATTTGGGATCCCCGCCCAGCTCAACAACCCTGCATTAACCTGTAATGAAAACTCAGAACTGCGTACCGGTCGCTTAGTGCTCTCCTTTTTTAGGGGTGCTTATTATGGTTATAAAACCCGTTCTCCAAATAAAATGGATAGCTGGGGCGGGAAAGGTTGGTGATTTCTACGCGGGTTGCGTTCGGACGCGCGGTGTTCGTGGCTGTACCGCTTCCGATTTCTGCCCGGTGCAGGCAGAGGGAGGCCGTTGGGCTCTAGCTGCCCCTTCTTTTCCTTGCAGATAATCGATGCTACCCAGAAAGGAAACTGCTCCCGTTTTATGAACCACAGCTGCGAACCAAACTGCGAGACGCAGAAGGTAAACGGCGGGATCAGAGCTGCTGGCTGCTCGCTTCCACGGGCTGCTGGCTGGGCGAGCTCGCAGCGCTTCTCCTTCGTCTCTCTTTGCTTGGGGGTTTTTTGTTGCTGTTATAACTCGGTGAAATGGAAGCAGCTACCTTTGAACTGGGCAAGTACTGCCAGTCCAGTTAGTGACTTCTAAATTTACCAGTGAGGCTGCTGGAAGGATTGTCCTTAATTTAAAGCAAAACTGGCGTTGAGCCTGGCTTTTGTAATAACTTGTCTTGTTTTTTCCTTGCTGTAGTGGACTGTGAACGGGCAGCTGAGGGTTGGCTTTTTCACCACCAAACTCGTCCCATCGGGCTCGGAGCTGACGTTTGATTACCAGTTCCAGAGATACGGGTACGTATCGGTGGGTGGAAGTGGGGATTTGTGTTGCACCAAAAAACATCCTGCTCCGAGACGAACCGTTGCGAAGCCTCGTCTGACAGAGCGCTTGTAAATGAGCTGGAATTCGGCTGTAGAAACGGCAACTGGGAGAAAGCTTCTCCCATTTCTAACACGGGATTGGGAGAGGAATTTCCCGTTGGTTCCATGTCTTTTAGAGTGTCGCTTCACTGCCTTTTTGTTCTGCTTCATACCATCTCTCCCCGGTGGAAATTTCCCCCATAATTAGCTTGACTGTTCCTTTCCTCTGTCTAATTATTAATTACCCAAGCTCCAGACTTTGCAGTACCCTTCAATAACGCCTCTTCGTCCCCACCCACCGCTGTTTTACGACTTTGCAAAGACTTGCGGGGCTGTAAAACCCCGACAGATCCCACGTTCCCCCTCCTGCCCGGCGCGGAAGGGCGGGCGGGCGAGCTCCAGCGTGGCCTTTGGCTCCCATCTCTGAACCTGAGCCTGATGGTTTTATATTCCTGCTTCTCCAGGTGCACGCAGAATATTTCCCTCTGTTGTGATGAGCGCAGAAATAGCGTCCGGCAGCAATTACAGCAACCTGTAATTATGAGATTTATTGTAGATCCGTTTTAGAATCCCTCAGCTTCTTCGCTGAGCGCAGTTTTAAGGAGCGCCTCTGCCTTTTCCTTCTGGATCCCGTCTGCTGCTCCCCCACGGCTCGCGCTGGGAGCAGGAGAATCCGGAATTAACGTTCCGCTTCGTTTGGAAATGGTTTGTGCGAAAGTGTCAGGTTCAGTCATTTCGTTTTCTTTTGCTGATGCAAACTGGCAAGAAGGAAGGTGAATTACACAGAATCCCAGAATCCCACCATGGCAGGGGTTGGCAGGGCCCTCTGGGGACCCCCCAGCCCAACCCCCTGCCGAAGCAGGGTCACCCACAGCAGGCTGCACAGCACCGCGGCCAGGGGGGGCTCGCAAAAAT